TTTCTTTTTTATTAACTTTCTTGGGTTTTACAGCTATGGAATTCTTTTTCCACATGTCATTTTTTTTACATAACCCCTCCCCACATACATTCCTATCTTAGAAAAAACTATTTTATCGGCTTCAAACACCATCTTGAAGCCGTGCATGCTAAGCATTGTCCCGGATAAGAGATTCTTCCGGATGTCGGGCACATATAGCACATTGTGGAGCTTCACTTCCTTGCCCAAGGTCATCTTCAAGAACACCATTCCTTGGCCCTTGATCTCAAAAGTTGCGGAGTTGCCCATGAAAAGCTTATCTCCAGTTTCTAACGGAACTATATCAGCAAACTCGGCCCGGTCACAGTAAATGTGTCTTGTAGCCCTAATATCGAGCCACCACTCATTTGGGTTGAAGTCGACCAAGTTCACTTCAGACATCGCAGCAGACAAGCTGATGTCAGACACGTCTTTGGAAATGGTGTCCACTGCATTGGCTTCCTTATTCTTATTTCGCTTCGGCAGCCTGCAATCCGTCGACTTGTGCCTAACCTTGTTGCAATTGAAGCACTTCCCTTGGAATTTCTTCTTGACAATTCCTCCCTTTGGTCCCAACTTGGATCTGGGCTTTTCTTTCTTTTTGGAGCCATCATGCTCCACCACATTAGCCTTAGCAGAGCTTGCAGTTGCATTGGAGAACTTCTTGTTAGACCGCCTATTGTCTTCTTCAATACGAAGCCTTATAACCAATTGCTCAACAGTCATCTCTTTCCTCTTGCGCATCAGATAGCTTTTGAACTCCTTCTAAAAAGGAGTAGCTTATCAACCAGCGCAGCTACCTGAAAGAATTCACTGATAGCCATTCCCTCGGCATGTATCTCGTGAATTATCAATTAGAGCTCTTGAACTTTATTAATAACAGTCTTGGAGTCTCCCATCTTGTAATTCAGGAATTGGCCCACTAAGAACTTCTTAGCACCTGAGTCTTTGGACTTGTATTTCTGGTCCAAGGATTCTTATAATTTCTTAAATGTTTTCTTTGAGTTATACATGTTGTAAAGCCCATCAGCCAAGCCATTCAACACATAGTTCTGATACATTAAGTTAGAATGATTCCATGCATCAACCGCGTGAAATGCTTACGCATCCATTTCATCCAATCTAACAGTAGGATGATCCTCTTTCAAGAATCTTGCAAGATTCAACGTTGTTAAATAAAATAACATCTTTTGTTGCCATGTCTTAAAATTTAGCCCACTGAACTTATCAGGCTTCTAATTATGGTTCACAAGAACTGAGACCGGCAAAGGCCGCGTCGAGGTCAAGCTAGGGGTCGAGACCGAGATAGACATTTGTCCCACAGGTGATGACTCCCGGTGTCATAGTGTTGCTTCCAGTAGGAACAACCACGTTCATGTTATCAACCATTTCTTCAAAACCAAAAATTTCCAAGTTAGTAAGGAAATTGACAAAGATTTCCAAACAAAAAAAATATCTTCTTTTGCAAACGTCGTCCCTTGTATGTGAATATGTTTTAAGATTGTCAGGCAATAATATGAAAAATACAAAGAAGAACAATATATATCAACTTGTTGAAAAAAATGATGTATTAAAATTGCTACAACACTAATTCAACCTTCTGTCAAATTTGAAAACTGAATTGGCAAAGATGTTGAGGCAAGTGAATCACGCTTTCCTTAAAATAGATTTGTCCTCTCCGGCGAGTGCTTGAGGTTACGTTAGACGTCCGTTCCCTAGGATACAACGACAACGATGGCAGTACGAAACACTGTCAAAATTGTCCGGTGAACTAGAACTTGCACCTTCCCTCTATCACCAAAACTGACTACAAAGACATCAAAAAGAACTAAAAAAAATCGAGAGAGAAGAGATTGTGTGTTTTGTTTTGTGTCTCCAAATGGCTGAGGAGACCTCCTTATATAGGATGCTGCAGAGGATGTTATAATGCTAGATTAATAATGAATAAATCTGAATTTACTCTGAGATTAATGGAGATTCAATTTAGACGTTACGACCCTGCAAAACCATACGAACCTGCTCCAAAGTATGTCCAAATTTAGAGCCATAAACCCTACACTAATGCTGGTTAATGTTGCAGTTTTCTGTGCCTTAAACCCTACACTAATGCAGAGTTAAAACATGTACAAATGCTGCAGTTTCAGTTTCTTACCAATATGAATTTATTTAAAAATAAATTTCAGCTTTAAGTTGGAAAAATAAAAAGAAAAATTGCAGAATAAGGCCCGCACTGAGTGGGCTTTTCGGTCCTTCATTCATGTCTGTAGGTCGTGAGTGCACATTTTGGGCCCTTAACCAGCCGGGTCCGTGATTTTCACCCCTTGCGTGTACGAGAGCCTCTCAGGTATATATGTTTACCTAGACTTTAAAGTGTAATCACTTATATATACCACCAAGACTTCATTCCTAGCCAATGTGTGATTTTATAATTTCCAACTAATTTAACCATCCCAAGTGACATACTTAAAGTATTAATTTTTCATTCACCCAATATCCATTTTGAGTGTGTGAATATCTGATTTCGATTTTCTCGTAATGGAGAACACAAATCCATCGAGACCCGTCTCAAAATCCAATTGGGTCTCATTCCAATATAGGCATCAAAATGGGCCTTTAACATGGCTTACTAAGCCATTTTCCAACAATTGTCATCCTAAAATTCCTTTTCCTCTTGCTAGCAAGTTTGCTTTTCCAAAACAAATAATGTTGAATCATAAACGTAATTCAACTGAATATTATATTGTATTGCCTATTTTGTACACTAATTTTAGTGGAGGATTGACTTTCTTCACATAAATAATTAAATAAATGACTGGCTCCTAAATGTTATTCATTTAAAAAGAATTATTTACCAAATGAGTATACCATGTAAATGACTCATGAGTCATTTACCATGTAAATAAATAACTTACCACGTAAATGAACCATCTACCAGGTTAATGAGTAATTTACCAGTCATTTACCACGTAAATAATGGAGCTCAGTTGCTCTTGGATGGTCGGAATGTTACAGAGAACTCGAACACCAAATCGACGTTCTCCTTATCAACCTTTTGTCTTCACTCGCTAGATTTGATGCACGAGTTTCGAGAGATCAAAGTTCCGCAATCTGGCCCCGTTCATTTCACCGATTCGAGTTTAGAATTCGAGTTTTGCTACAGTAAAAAGCTCTCAGAAACAGTCACATCTAACTTTTTTGCTATAGTAAAAAGCTCTCACATAAAGTCACATCTCAACTCGAATTAAAAACTCGAATCAGCGAACTAAACGGGCCCTACATCTTCAAATGCTGGAGTTTGGAAGATAGTTCAACCAGGAGAAAAGTGATTTGCAGAGGAGAGAGAGAGAACTTAGAAGAGATAGAGAAATTTGCAGAGGAGAGAGAATGAACTTGGAACAAATAGAGAGATTTGCAGAGGATAGAGAATGAATGAAAGAGAGAGATAACAGGGGAGAGAGAGGAATCGTTGGGTTTGAGGAGAGAGAAAGCAAGTGGGTTTGATGAGAGAACAAGATCAGAGGAGAAGGTGTTAGATGGAGGAGAGAGGATAATGTGAAATTAGAGTGTGGAATATGAATAGGGATATTATTGGTATTTTATTGTATCTTGAAACAAGGATCTAAATTTTTATGTATTTACTTAACCTACTCTTAATATCTGCTGTTTATTTTAATTACCCTCCATATTTCTGTTATTTTCCTCATTCTCTCCTAATATTATAATCATCCAAAATGTAACAACAATAACATGCAATTCAAAGTAAAAGAAAGTTAGGCCCCGTTTACTTCATTGATTCGAGTTTAGAATTCGAGTTGAGATGTGATTTTATGTGAGAGCTTTTTACTGTAGTAAAAAAGTTAGATGTGATTGTTTGTGAGAGCTTTTTACTGTAGAAAAACTCAAATTCTAAACTCGAATCAACGAAGTGAACAGGCCCTTAATAACTAGTAATATTACAGTCATCCAAAATAAAAAAGTAACAAATAACAATAACAAGCAATCTAAAGCAAAAGGTCATAACTAATAATATTATAGTCATTCAAAGTCTAAATGTAAATAACAAGTTTTTTTTTTCTATTTTAAAAAGTTACAAATTAAATCGGACTGTTAAGAAAATAATCCGGTCCGGCTTTAAACCGTTTTATTAACGGTGTTGACGTGGAACCCAACTGACAGTCTAAAAACTAACTACCCGTTTTGAACCGGCAGCTTGAACCAAACTGTACACATCCCTAGCACGAGGGGAAAATTGAAGAAAAACGACAACAAATATTTAAACCAGATAAACAAAATAAAAACGACAGCTACGAAGAAATAACATCGCTTACAAACATTAGTTAGTGTAGAAACGACAAACAACATAATTGGGGAAAAAACATGAAAGTGGTTAAGTGGCTGCTCTCCAATAACAACAGTACCCAAAACGTCGACAAATAAAAAAAAAACGACAACAATTTTCAAATTAAGAAATATTAAGGGTTTAAACTAGAGTGATTAAATTTGATTTTAAAATTAGAATTATGATTTATAATTTTAGGTTTAAATTATGATTCTAAAACTACAACTAAAATCAGGAGTTTAAACCACTTAAAATTAAGATAAATAATTTTAAAATCAAGAGTAATTCATAATTTAAACATTACATCACGATTTAAATTTTAAATCAAAACTATCAAAACTAAATAATAAATCTAACTGAGTCAAATTAAAATTACTTTTATTTTTATAAATAAATATTAATTTAAATTAAAATCATAATTCTGAATTTATATCTCTTATACCGAATAAAATCTAAGAATCCACAATTATTCTGACAATGACAACAAGGAAAACCGCAAAAAACAGAAAACCACGTCGGTGAAGAATATAACAATGGTATGCCGTATGCATTATCCACTGGTGGCAAATTCGTCATTTTGAAATCTTTTTCTTTTTAAGTTTTTTTTTCAAAAGTAATTTTATATATTGTTCTCCACCACTCACCTTCACTTGTAAAACCCTAACCCTTATTCTCTCTCGCCCCTGAGAAAAAAGCCCTAAAATTTTCGATCAAATCAGATTTTACACCAATTACTTTCTCGGGAAAAAAGCAAAGAAAATTCTGAAATTGGAACACTATGGGTTCGAAATCCAAGGGCGATAATCCACACTCAGGCGACGGTGCTAGTCCTGGGTTCGTTTTTTCTGTTTTTATTCGATTTGTTGAAGGAAAAAAAAGAATGGATTTTTTATTTTATTTTATGAAAGTTTATAGCTTTCCGAATCGTTTTGTGCTTTTTTGCATCCTAATTTGATCTTTTTCTTTGAGAAATGCAGGAAGATTTTCATTGGAGGATTAGCGAAAGACACCCATTATGGTTAGTCCAGAGATATGAAAGTTTCCTTTCCTCTCTTTCTCTCTCTCTCTCTATATATATATATATATGTATGTATGTGTGTGTGTCTATATATATATATATATATATATGAATCTCAGTGGCTATATGATTCAGTTGTGGTTAGCTTCTAATTTGAATAACTGATTTAGAAGAGGGTATTTGTACTGTTTTTTTTTTTTTATGTAAAATTATTAGTTATGTAAATTGGTCCAAGTTAATTTTCTTAAATTTTGAGAATTTTTCCCCATAAATTTATTATGAATGGGCCAAATCTGCCAAAAAACTAAAAAGGTCAGCGATTGATTGTCCAAATATAGTTTTTTAAGGATTAAATTGCCGTAACTAATAATGCCAAAAATCATTTTGTTTTTGAGTTAGATTCATAGTAAGCTGGGATGTTTCTTTTTCATTACTAATGTGGCACTTCTTGTTCCGTTTTGTTTTTAATGACTTTAGCTACGTTTAATAAGCACTTTGGAAAATATGGGGAGATAGTGGACTCGGTTATAATGAAAGACCGCTTCACGGGTCAGCCGAGGGGTTTCGGTTTTATCACTTATGCTGATCCTTCAGTTGTTGACATGGTTATTGAGGACACCCATGTGATTAATGGGAAACAGGTAACAAAATTGTATTTATGTGTTATTTTGTGCATGTTTTGATGGTGTTATAGTTATCCCACTGGTGTTTAAAAGTATAAGCCAAGGTTTAATTGGAAGTTTGATTACTGACATCGGAGCAGGTTGAGATAAAAAGGACCATACCGAAAGGCCAGGGTCATACTAAGGATTTCAAAACCAAGAAGATATTTGTTGGTGGGATTCCATCAACAGTTACTGAAGGTAGGGAGTTTTTATGTTTTACTTCTCTGTTTTCTATGTACGTTGTTTTCTATGTACAGTAGAGCTTGCTTGTGGTGAAAGTCTTAAGTGAAGTATGTTCTCTGTCGGGTCTCTATTTTCTTACTAGTTACCTTTTTGAGTTGCCAGATGAGTTGAAAAGTTTCTTCTCGGAGTATGGGAAAGTTGTGGAACATCAAATCATTCATGATCACGAGACCAATCGCTCGCGAGGCTTTGGATTTGTAATTTTTGAGAGTGAGGAAGTTGTAGATGAATTGTTATCCAAGGGAAATATGGTTGATATAGCTGGTACCCAGGTGAGCTTGTTTAAATGGCATCCAAAGAAACCGGCATGTACACAGAGTTCTCCTCAATGTGGAGTGTGCATTATTATTGCATTCTCCAATTTTATTTATACCATTCCCAGAAAGAAAAGTATTTTATTTTTAATTTCTTTATATTTCATCAAAGAGACCACTTTTGGTGATTTGATTCTAATTTTAGGTCGAGGTGGTTTCAGGTATAGACAATCACGGGAAAGGGCGACGACCATAGTTCTATTGCAGCAGAATTTAGGTTAACTAAGTTGCTTTGTTGTAGGTGGAGATCAAGAAAGCTGAACCAAAGAAAGCCTCAAATCCACCACCTGCTCCTGCATATGGTGGCATTTCTAGGGCTCGTTCTTTCAGTGATGGATACGGTGGATTTGACAGTCCTTATGGTGGTTTTGATGGGGGCTACGGCCCCGGTCCCTATAGGACTCCTGGGGGTGCTCTTGGCAGCAGGCTTGGTAGTGGATATGGTTATGGTAGTGGTAGTGGCGAGTTTGGTGGGGGATATGGAAGCTTTGACGGCAGTAGCTTAGGTGGCTTCCGAGGTGAATCTTCCTTTGGTTACACTAGTCGATTTGGACCCTATGGTGGTGGTTTTGGCGGGGGTGGTTATGGTGCAAGCAGTTTAGGTGGATATGGTCGTGGTGGGGAAGGCTATGGAGGATATGGCAGTTCAGGCTATGGTGGTGGTAGTGGATACGACTCTGGTCCAGGTGCTAGTTATGGTGGAGCGAGTGGCCTTTATGGAAGGGGAGGCTATAGTGGCAGTAGTCGTTACCACCCTTATGCAAGGTAGAAATGAAAGGCACTAGTCAGTATCGTCCCTATGCGCGCTAGTATGAAGCCATTTTTATGCAGTTGCTTAAGCTTTTGCCTATAGAAGTTTGTCACAGGTTCCTCTAGTTTTGTTTATTGAGCATCGATAGGTACTTCCTCACTGCCGCTAGAGGCTTCCTATTGTATGGCTTAGACAAGCTTTAAACGATCAGAAGAGCTTTCTCATTAGACTTTATGTTCTATTGTATGGTTTAGACAAACTAGATTGTTTCAAGCTAGTCTTTGGTGTGCTTATTCTAGTTTAATTAATATAGTGTATTGCGTATTATAGTCGGCTTATTGCAGCGCCTGTTACGATCTGCTTTAGTTCGTTCTAGAATATTAATCTTTTTTGTTTAGCATGTCATTTTTGCCTTGGCATTCAGGTCATGAGATGGTTTAGTTTGATTTTTGATTTATTTAGTTTTTTGCAACTGAGATGTAAATCTGTGCTACTTAAGTTAACCTGGGATAAGATAAGACTGTTAAGTTGTTTAGTGTGCTTCTAAGGCCGTTTTAGATCTTCTCGATTTTCTTTTTTGTCAGGAAACTGGTGAATGGGAAGCTATTTGTATGCTTCTATTTTTTGAGAAGTTGTGTGGTTATCTTCCTGGGGTCTAGAGCTAGGTAGGGGTTGTTCTTTTGCATTTTTGAGTTAGGATGACTTGAGTGATGATCTTGAGTTGAGTTTGAGTTATAATTTGAGTTGAAGTTGTAACTTGAGTTTGTGTTTGGATGTGCACATTTAAGTTATGATTTGAATTGAGAATCTTTTTGAGTCTGTGTTTCGGTAGGTCAAAACTTAAATTTGTATTTAGATAGTATTTTAATAAAAATTCAATGGTGATGAAAAATTTTAATAGGGTATATAGGTGGGGTTTTATTTATCTTTTTGTTGTGAATGCATAGAAAAAAAATCATCTCAATCAGAATTAAAACGAAAAAGTTATGACATTTTTAATAATAGAAAAAATACTGTTCATCAACTTGAGTTCGAGTTTATGAACTCGAGTTAAAGGGAAAATTTAAACTCGAGTTCAAGTTTGAATTCAAACTCGAGTTCAAACTCAAATTTTACAAAAGAACATGAATTTGAATAAAATTGTAACTCGAGTTTAAATTTTTTTCTGAGTTTCGTTATAAAAGAACAACTCTTTAATCTTATGGTCATTTCCCAACCGGAGTACTTCTGTTTTAGGTTTAGGAGAATTATGTGGTTGGTACCAAAAATATCAGTGTTGCAGAATTTTGGGCCGTCGGGACGTGTACAAATAAAAATACGTATGTAAATTGAACGGGACTTAATGAAAAGCCGACGATCTAGAATTGCATCTCAATACAAATATGGCATTTTCTTTTACATCCTACCAAAGAATACTCTTATTAAGGTAAGTACATAATTGATTGGTTGCATTTGTTGGTCATAATGTTCATGTTGGTGGTGTTAAGTGGCTGTTCAAGTTGATGGAATGCTAACTTCTGGCATTTCAGAAAGGTTTAATGGGAATTCCCAGTTTTATCTTCTATTCTTCTATTTGTCTGTAATGCAATGGGATTTTGCAAATTAAAAAAAAAAAGAAAAAGAAAAAAGAGGGGAAAAAGAAAAAGAGAAAAGACAAGATTGTAAATATATTATTTCAATTTGTCTCTCTCTTGTGGGCAATTACGTATAAATGTCCTCCCAAACGAATGAATCAATGTAATTACAGTTCTGCTTTTGCTATTGTTGCAAATTTTTGCTTCTGGTTTACGAATTTTCTTCTGTTAGTTTTATTTTTTTTATTTTTTTATTTATTAGGCACTGATCTCTTTGTGGTCAGCCTCTTATTGGAACAAGATACGAAAGTGAATAGAGCTCACTAAAATGGCAATATAGCTGCATCCTTAAAAAAAAATAAATAAATAAATAAATAAATAAAGAAAAGTTTTAAAGCATTTTGGAGGGTAGACTCATCTTTGCTAATACATATCTTGCAATTTAGTTGTAAAAGATCCAATATTATTCTCTAAGTTGCAATTACTATGAAATCCCTCTCACTATATATAATATTGTTTATGTTATATAAAGTTATGAAGGGTCCTTCTATAGTGTTTTTAACATTTGAAATTCGCAAGTTCCAACGACTTTTGTATTTTTTTTTAAAATTTACAGGTTTATTGTAATTTATGTAATTTTAATGTTAAAAGTTTACAAGTTTCAACATAAAATTTGTAAAGTTATTGTATTTCTGGCACTTGTATGAAAATTTTCTCATGGCATCACAAAAGTTCCCAATTTTGAAATATGAACTTTGCGTTATGGATGGAGTATAATGCAATATGGAGTGTGGACTTTAGGTAGTCGGAGGCTTTTTGTTACAAGATATTTTATTACCCAAGTAAAAATTTGTCGAAAAATTTCGTAAAAAATATGACTTAAAACAAAAGAAATCTCTACCCGCTCACCAAACCAACCGCGCCCACGAACCTGCCTACACTATTTGGATGATTCAAAAAGAGGTTTTTCCACTTTATACCGTGTATGTTAAGGTTAATAAAAGGCCATCTTTAAAAATACTTCTTGAAATAGAGTCACATTTTATTTTTATTCTTTAATATTAGCTCATATATTTTTATCTTTTAGATTAAAACTAATTAAGGGGTATGATTTTTTAAAAAGAGATATTTTTAGTAAGTGGGATATTTAAGAAGGTAGAATATGTAATATTCTCTTAAGAAAAAGACTATAAATTCCTAAGAGAAAAAAAAAATCATAGATGAAACTTGATGGTACCAAATTTCATGAATTTAACTATTATTTATTATTATTATTATTATTATTATTATTATTATTATTATTTTGTAAGAACTACTATTAATAGTTGGAGCTACTTGCTAGTTGCTATTGGACGGAGTGTTTTTAATAATTTTCCAAATAGTTAAATTTATGGATAGTCTCTAAACTTTTTTCTCTTTTTACAATTAATTTTTGTAGTCAATTTCTTTTATGAACAGTCCTAAAACTCTAAAAGTGTTCCATAAATAGTCCCTTTGTTAAATTTTAAATGAAAATCTTTAACTTTCTCTCATAAAAGGTCCCTAAACTATTTTTCTCTCTTCAAAAATAATTTCTATGTTAAAAAAAATAATAACCATAATAGAAATTAAAATTACAAATCATTCTCAAAGCATCACAACCCACTAACCCAAATATATATATAATATATTTTTTTCCCTAAGATCTAGAAAAAAAAGTAAAAAACAATCTAGATTTTTCAAATCCCTTCCCACTCAAGATTTTTTTTCTTTCAGATTTGCCAACCCTCTCTTAACCCCGTGCTCGTTGGCCCCTCCCTTTGCCATCTGCTCGTCACCTCCGTTGCTTCCTCTCACTACCCTTGCCGCGCACACGTAACCCATCACCGCCGCTCCTTCCCTCTCCAGCCCCATTTGACTCCAGCGAGGTTTTTGCACTCAAACTCAAGAGGGTTTCACATCTTGGAATGACACTTTTAGATTTAATTTCTTTGAATTTAATTTTTAGTGAAAAAGATGAAGACCTGTATTGCTATTCTTTAGAGATTTTTATTTATTTATTATTTATTTATTTGACATTTTAGTTTTTTAGCTCCTTTTCTGGTTTTATAATTTTTAAGATAATATGTTTTTTTTTTTAAGTTTAGGGATTAAATTTAGTAGAGAGAAGATAGTTTAAGAACTTTTATGAAATAAAATTAACGATTTTCATCTAAAATTTAACAAAGAAACTATTTAGGAAATATTTTTAGAGTTAAAAAACTGTTCATAAAAAAATTAACTAAAGAAAAAAATTCAAGGATTATCTATGTATTTAACTCTTTCCAACAAATAAAAGAAAAAAGAGATATATATTTTTTTCTGAATAAAAGAAAAAAAAATAGTGGAGAAAAAAGAAAAAAGATATTATAATTAATTTAAAATAGTGTGGAGAACCAAAACGACACCGTTTGAGCATCCACCAACATAATACCACTTACAAAGAAGTGAAAACACTGAACTTTGGACTTCGTGCCCTTCTCTCTCATCTTTCTCTCTCTTCGGCGTCGGCGATTTTGCGAACCTCAGGGGCTATCGAACTCAGAGTCATGGGCGGCGAGTTGAGGTACGAGATCTCTCAGAACGCGTACATAAAGCTGGTCCTCCACGCCCTGAAGCACAAAACCTCCGGCGTCAATGGCGTCCTCATCGGCCGTGTTTCCTCCCAAAACGACGGCGTTGTGGAGATCACCGACTCCGTCCCTCTCTTCCACTCCCACCTCGGCCTCCTTCCCCAGCTCGAAATCTCCCTCATCCTGGTACTTCTCCCCAAGAAGATCTAACCTTTTCATACATCTATATATATATATTTATGTATTTGTATTATATCGTATTAGATGTGTATTTCTTTAAAATTCGTGGAAGTACTGGCGAAATTTCTTGCGAAGTAAATAATTTTGGGGGGTTTTTTTTTTCGTATTAATTCATTCCTTACAATTCGTGGAATTACTGGCGATATTTCTTGCGAAATGAATAATTTTGTATTTTCTGGGATTAGTTTTAGTTTCCTTTAATCTAATTTGATGTTTATTTCTTTGTAATTTGTGGGATTAGTGGGGAGATTTCTCTCGAAGTGAATGCATTTTCTGATCTTAATTTTGTTCCCTTTAGTTTAATTTGTCTCCATTGAATTGACCTATGCACAAACGCTCACAAAAATCTTTTCTTTACAAATAATTGAATTAATGTCAACATTTATTGCAAAGTTGATATATTTGTGATTTTTAGGTTAGTTTTAGTTTCGTTTTATTTTAATTTTGCTTCCATTGAGCTTATATAGTTTCCCCACCTTTATCAATTGGAGCCACATTGCAATGGTTCGACAAATATAGGTTGTTAATTGCGAAAATTAAAAGTTTAGAGAAAATTTTCCAAAGGTATAAAATGACAATAGATACTATCTATATAGATAAACACACACACACACACACACACGCACCAATAATTTTATAGTATTTGATGTTTATTTCTTCATAATTAATAATTACTGAAAATATTTCTTGTGACGTGAATGAATTTGTGTTTCTCTGAGCTTAAACTTATTTGTCTTTAAATTTAAGTTGGTTGAAATTGAACTCGTGAATTGGATCAGATAGAGGAGTACTATTCAAGCAAAGGGGATAACATTGTGGGTTATTTTCACGCCAATGAGAGATTCGATGATTATGAGCTTGGTGGTGTGGCTAAGAATATTGGTGATCACATATCTCGTTACTTTCCTCAAGCGGCCATTCTTTTGGTACATTTTGAAGTTGAAATTTCTCTTGATGTGATTTTGGGTCGCTCTTATGGGGTATATCGGTTTAAGTTCAGTTTCTCTTGTTTTCTGCTCTTTACAATTTGTAGTTAGATAACAAAAAGCTCGCAGCTTTGGAAAAGTCCAAGGATCGGAGCCCTGTTTTGCAGGTTAGTGATCAATATTATGATTATTAAAAGCGTTGCTAGATTTGAGTATTGGTTTTAAATTTCATGTGGTTTCTAGTCTAGCTTTCAAAGTTGAAAAGAATATATATTTTTTTTGTGGCCTGATATGACGTCTGACTCGGTGTGAGATTAAGTTTTCTCTTGTGAGTTATTTTCTCTGAGTCAGGAACACGTGAATCAGAAGTGGTGTTGGCGATGTGTATGGATGATATGCATTGTTTTTTGGTGTAATCTTTATGAAAAATGATAAAAAGCCTTAATGAAAATTGGTAAAAAGTATAAGTGGTTCCCAACACTACAACTCGCAAACTATGGATTCCACTCGTATGGATTCCACTCATATGCAAGTGAATCAGATGGTGGGCACTACTGATGCCCAATAGTTGGCTCCATCTTTAAGTCTTTTTTAAGTTTCTTTCCCACACAAATGCCAGTTTGCTGAGATAGATCATAAGGATGTGTATGATATACTAGCGAACTCTTACTATCTATGATTTAGACTCTGAACTTGGGAAAAATGTATTATCATCTGCTTTTTGTCATTTCACGTTCATAATACATTCTTTGAATCTGAAATTTTTCCACATGGCTGTGAAGCTTCGGACATGTTCCTGTGAATTTCTATATTCTCATACACCAACTGCCTGTTATGTGTTTTTCCTTTAAAACCAGATCTACACAAAGGATGCGTCCAGAAACTGGAAGTTAGTTGGATCAGATGCAGGGCATCATCTGACTACTAAGGAGCCATTAGCAAATGTGGTTCTGTTGGATTATATTTCAACTGAAAAATGGAAAGATCTTGTTGATTTTGATGACCACCTTGATGACATTAGCAAGTGAGTATTACATATGCTTCAATCTTCTATTTCCTGTTTTTCGTCTGATATATATATACATTAGCAAATGTGGTTCTGTTGGATTATATTTCAACTGAAAAATGGAAAGATCTTGTTGATTTTGATGACCACCTTGATGACATTAGCAAGTGAGTATTACATATGCTTCAATCTTCTATTTCCTGTTTTTCGTCTGAT